ATTACAAAATCTATAAAAAAATCTATAACTTAATCGATTAAAAATATCTATAAGATCGATAAAAAATATCGTTTATTATATCGATAAGTTCCGAAAATATCGATAGCAAAATCAATATCCATATCGGTACAAAAAAAAAACGATATTTGTAGAATATTTTTTTTTTAATTGCATAAATTTTTAAGGCAGTGTCACTCGATTGGCACATTTGTACAGATTTGTAAATTTTTATATTAGGCTATTGCAAGAATGATAGAATACAAGATTGCGCCAATCGAGCTGAGAGCAACTGGCCGTGACGGCAAAATATACCAGAATGAGAGAGCAAGACGAACTCGACAAGAAAAAGAAGAAGCATCGAACAAAAGGCAGTATTGCCAAGTTTTGAATTTGAAAAAACACCAAAATTTTTATTGGTGTATTTTATGGACTTTATATGAATACATAATTTTATTGTAAGGATGCCGATTCAAATTAATAAAAAACAATGTTTCTTGCACAACGGTCGATTTCTTCTGGCATGATTGATGGTGCTGCACATATTTCGTTGTCGCTTATGATTGTCCCTGTGCCATGATTTTGTTAAAATTTTTGTAAAATTGCTTAGCACACTTACGATTGCTATAAATTTTGCTTCCATTTTTTTAAGATTTTCTAATTTTTAGTCTTCAAACTAAAAACAAAAGCACCAAAAACGCACCAAGCACAAAACTCAAAAATTTTCGCGTTTTGAATACCCACTAAATTTGGTGCGAAAAGCATGAAGTTGGCAACAGTGAATGTAAACAAAAGTATATTATGACGTCAGCGATTGGGTGGATGCTGTCAAATCGACGAAGAGAGGGTTAGCGGTCCGCGAATGGCGCGACCTTTATTTTCTGGATCGTGAGGCTATTGGTAAAAAATGGCAAATTTTTTTTTTGTAGTCAAAAGATTGGTACAATACAGTGATGTTCTATTGAAAAATTTCAATAATTAATTTTCGTGATTGGGATAGTGAAAAATATTTTGGGTGTTCAAGCAATTGGGATACGATCTGCACCGAAATTCGGCAAATACCCAATCGTGTGACACCGCCTTTAAACTTGTATTTATACGGATGTTGGTAAAGAACGAACTATAAAAAACTAACCGAAGTTAAATAACAACAAAAATAATATTTTAAAACTTGTAAAATTTTGGTGCGGCTATAATTTTTTCGACTACTGTACATAAGTTGGCTATGATTACTCGGCCGTGCTATCATAGTAGCACAATGCCACTCATATTTGACTTACAAACAAAATACGGGCAGGAATTTCATGATTTCAACCATGTTTTTATGAAAATTTTTATTTTTATCAGTATTTTTCTTTTAATCAAAATATGTTGAAATAAAAGTGAAACTAAAAAAAAAATTTTGCCATTTTTATTTTTTTTTAATGTTTTTTAATTTTAATTATTTGTATATAACAAAAACCATATAAATCCAACTTTCAATCTTTGTGCAACATTAAAAAAAAAAAAAAAACTTTCGTAAAAATTTTGAGCTTTTTAGTTCGTCAGCAAAAATAAAAAATAAAAAATGCCAAAAACCAACGATAAGTCGGAGCTACCTTAAACTTACAGTTTATTATACTAAAATTGAATGGGCTACAAATTTGTATACTCAAAATATTTTTTAGTATGTAATATTTATTTATTTATTCAGTTATGAATATTTCTAGAAAAAAATAGTTAAAAAGCTTGAACATTTTATAGTCGAGGTTTGCAGTAAGCAGTCATGTACGTATTTCTTCTAGAAATCTGCCTGACGCAGAAAAAACTCTTTCACTAGTTGTAGAGTTAGCTGGTATGTTTAAAATTTGTCTTGAAAGGCTTCTAACATGTAGCAATTTTAAAGCTTCGTCACAGCTTTGGTTTCCTGTACTTATTAAATAAATCTGTATTTCCGCATTAATGTGTTAATTTTTGGTTAACAATACACATATGTAGGTGAAAATTACGTGACCGACGGGAACTCTAACTCACGCACGCTCACGTTAGCAAAAATTTCATTCACGCCCGATCACGGAAATTACGTGATTGTTCTCTCAAAACCGCTCACGCTCACGCGTGAAAAAGTGTGTCACAACATGCTACGTATAAAATCACGAGTTTTGCGCATCTCTAGTTTGAAGTAGCAAGGACTTACCATTAATTTATAGCATTTTTTTTTTGTTGACGGTGTTATGCATTTTTTTCATACAAAGTATTTTTTATAGCGAAGCAAATGAGCACGTTTTACTTTATTTTTTCTAAAGATCCTGATTTTGATGAAACTTTGCAGAACTAATTTTCATAGTTTTTGCGAAAAGGCGGAATTTTTGAAACTGGTTCTTGTTGGGAAAAGAGCATTACTTTCTTAAAAAAAATAATAAACGTTAAATAAACAAAAGAAAAATAGACACACCTGGCTAAGATGTCGAGTCCTAATTTATATTAGGTCATTCAGATTAGAAAATAATAACTGTCTACGGAGTAAATTATTATCATATCGTCGCTACCATGTCAAACTATCGAATGTGAAAATCGGCACTTTTCAGGAGAGCAAAGAAACTGTTGTACAAAATGTTGTTGTCGGGTGCGTTCAGTAATGCATCAAGCCAAAGCATCAGCCGCATTTATTTCTAAACTATAATTGATGGAAATGTCCAATATGCGCAACCACGGTTAAATGTCTAATTGGAACTTCTTGCACATTCGATAGTTTGACATGGTAGCGACGATTAGTGTTGCCACAACATTTATCACCAGAAAAATTACCAAATTCAACAAAAAAATACCAAGCTTATTTGATATGCAGAACTGTACATAGATATGTCTGTACATATATCCGAAGACACCAAGCTTTTCATGCAACCAGCGCCCCATTCAGCTATAATTTTTATATCTGCGTGAACGCTAAAAGTCACAACAACAGAAACGCTTGATGAGGATTTCAAACTTAAGTGTGGCCGAAGAGGAAGCTGACGAACTGACAAGGAAAGGTAGAGCCATCCAATACCTTCTGGACATTGTAGATATAGCAATTGCCACTTTCAAGCAGTTTTTTTTAGAAATCACACATTTCGAAGAACTAACTTTCAGGATTACTTACCTGGTATTCCTATAAAAGGCAACGCTTACGGCCCACTTTCTAATGTGGAGGACTGAATCGAAAAAGTTACCAAATTGAAAAATAAGCTACAAAATTTGATAAAAAAAAAATACCAAAGTGGCAACGCTGGCGACGATATGCCAACATCACTTAAAACTGGTTTATGGGCATGCAATTTTAACGCAATTTTAACGAGTTGTTAAGGCGTCGAAATACCGAACACCGAATGCGGGACAAATACATGACATTAAAAGAAATACAGAACATTTGGCGTCCCGTATAAAATAAATAAATTACCAGGACAATTGGCCAAAAAAGAGGACTGCGCTGTATAATACAGGTCGGATAGTCACCGTAACTATACCATATAGCTCCCATACAACTGATTGTTCAGATATTTATTATAACTCCTCCATTTCTGAAGCTAGGACTATAATAAAAGTAATCAATTTTTATTCCAATCAAATTGGTAGCACAATCATTGATTGCTAAACAAATTGATTGCAATATTGCTCCTATCTTTAGTTTCCATACCCACTTTTTTTAAGAATGTGTTCTAATATGTATTTTTATAACAGTAATTTAAAAATTTAAAGTGTAAAATATACACTTTGTGTCACCGCTCAATTGAATTTTGAATTGTACCAAAATATCTAAGCTTTGACTGTTTATTGTTTACAATATTATCTACTTTCACAAAAACAAAGTTACCTTTCCTATAATTTACTGTATTTTCTAAAACAAAGCAATAAAGAAAAAGGCATGTTGACACCTGTAATAAGTTAGTTTTGGCCAAAAAAGTAGGCATTTAGATCATAATGCCCTGTGAAAAAATGCTGGTGGATATTACGCTAATCTAACGTCCAAAAAACAATAACCAACCAAAAAGAAAAATAAATAAATTACACAGGTTTTTGTGTGTCTGTGCTTTTCTTAATTTAATTGCTAAAAATTTCAAATCAGAAATATACAACTAAAGCGCTCTTACATCTATTAAATTTCTTAGTCCATGTGAAGTTAACAGCGTGGCGCTGTTTTAAAAATAACATTTTACAATTAATTTCTGTTCAAGCAAAACTTGGGCTTTAAAAATAATTTACCTACTTAAAATTAAACCTAAATTAAAATAAAATTTAAGACAAAATATTGTTAAAAAACAAATTTATGTATAATAAAAAAAAAAAACTAACTTAATAAATACTTTTCAAAGTAATGACAATTTTAGGTAAATCTTAAAAAAATTAAAGGTGATGTTAGGTAGACAAAATTCTAGATGTAGTTAAATATAGGAAGCAAATTTTTACATCACATTTCCCAAACCTCAACCCTTTCGTCGATGCTACTATAGTCGAAGATATCACATATAAATTTTGGTCCCGATTCGAGACGGGTTAAGGCCTGTCGCACAGAGGGCAAAGTTCGGATTCCTCTATGGAGCCTCAAAAAATTGAGATACATTTTTTTTCACCTATTACCCAAAATCGATACAACTTTAGTCGAAGATATCATACATAGATTTTGGCCCCGATTGGAGTCGGTTAAGGCGTGTCGCACTGTGGTCAAACTTCAGATAACCCTATGAAAACGTCTTAACCGGCTGCAATCGGGACCAAAATTTACATGCGATATCTTCGCCTTTAGTAGTATCGATTTTGGGTGTTAAATGAAAAAAAATTATAAATTTTTTGAGTCTCCATATAGGCTTCTGGCCTTTGACCCCTTTGCACACGCCTTAACGGTCTCCAATGAGGACCAAAATTTATAGTGTGATATCTGTGATCGTGGTATTACCGATTGAAGGGGTGAGACTGAAAAAAAATCGTTCATTTGATTTTAAAGACCACCCTAATCTATATACATCTATATAAAGAAGAACAAAGAATTTTGAGTTTTAGATTTATGGTTTTTTATTTGGATTTGTTGTTTCTTTTTACGTTTGTAAGCATTTTTAGCATGAATCGTTCATTTGCAAATTAGAAGTTAAATCAAATGCATCAAGCAACAATGCGTGTGCGCACTTTACACGCTTTTTTTAAATTTGTTTTTGTTTTTATTTCATTTAAATTTTTTGTTTGTTTTTTTGTTTACTTCTATGTTATCCATTTACAGAGATTTTTTTTATGTACTACTTATGTATAGACTACATACTGTCACTCTTCACATACATATATACTCGTAATTAACCTTGCATGCATTTTCATCTTTTTAACAATCTTGAAATTTTCACAAATTCTCTGTGTTTTTACCTCAATACATACATATGGTATCCATTGTATTTACACACATGTATGTATGTGCGAAATTGGCCATATTCCAAAAATGGTTTCACACAATTCTTACTATGCAGATTTCTTATTAATTTTCGCATTTGCCGTTAAAGTTCTTATTATTTGCTGCCCCAAGCAGTCTCTTCGGTGCACTCTTTCTACAAATTTACTGAATTCCGGTTTCTAATTAGAAGGCGGCTATAGAGACTGACAATACCTAAAGAGAAAGCGTAGCATTATTGCATGTCTAACTATCGACTCCTAACCGCCAAAAAGAGGTAAGCGACATTTTTTCGAAATTTTATTTTTTTTGATGCAAAAATTCTCCTGGAGCATCTAAATGCATTTCTGCATCAAAAATAAAATTGAAAAAAGAAATGTTGCTACCTCTTTTTGGCGGATAGGGCTCGATATGAATGTACATACATTGTATGTCATGTGTAAGGATATCGGAATAGCTCAAATTTCAGTAAAGTACTTAAATTTCGAAATATATAGCTGTATTTAAGTAAAGAATATGCGGCTGAGTAGTTTTTTTTTTTTATAAGCGCTGGGTTCCTTCATTGGCAGTACCACTTCCACCAGGTACTTTTTAAAGAAAGAAATTTTGAGTTAAAGGCCACTACCAATAACTTCTTGCGATGAAGTGATTTTCTATAAAATGCATACTAAAGTTCATTCTTAAGCAAGTAGTAGTCGACCAAGTACTTTCAAATTTGGAAAATAAAAAAGTAATTAAATTACATTTTCACCATTTCACCATTTTGTAATCGCAACTATCTACACGATTGCTCTGAATTTCAAAACCAAATACTGTCACACTGAGGCTTATGATTTCGTTTGGATTTTTTTTGTTTTTGGGACCCTTAGTAAAATACCAAATACAAGCTGAACGCGTTCTTTGAATGCTGTTTCATCTATTGTTTCTAACGAGTATTTTATTCAAGTTTATCGTTTTGGACTGTTTCTTTTGTTTTGTTTATGTGCGAGTGGCACATTCTTCTGGTTAAGAAACCACTCCCAACAAGGAAATGCGAGTCGTATTCATGAAATTGAGAAAATTTTTGTTTTCTGTTGCATTCAAATTCAGACACGCACACAAAGTCAGCTGACAATTGCGCAATATGGTGTTCGTGAAAACACGATAATATTCTGGACAAATTTTAAATTTTGAATCCTTTCCTTTTATGACTCCCCAACATCCTCCTAGCCTGGTACTGTTCGCATGTTCAATGCCCAAAAACGGCGAGTACTTTTCGCTTCCTAGTGTCTGCTTATGACGCCTTGCCTTGAGAAGAAAAGGTATGATCGCAACCAAAATGTGGTTCTCGTAGTTTTGTTCCCAATAACGCTAAAAAACCCAAACCGAAATAAGAACAAAACCTTCCTCCCGAACAAGAACGGAAGTGTGAACAAACCTGTCGAGAATGTTATATAGGCACAAAACACCGGAGAATGTTACCGAAGCAAAAAAAAATGTAAACAATACGTTCGTGAACATTTTGAAGAGAAAAAAGGTCTTCGCAACGTTCTGGCAAAGAACAAAATGGTAACAAAAGTCTAAGAAACTTTTACTCGAATAACAATTTGCGAGCTAAAGTCTCGGGACCATTCTGACAGAGAACGAAACAGGAACAAATGTTCTCTGGAAATGGAAGCGCGAAAACACATTTTCTCATAGGCGCGCATTAGTTTGAAATGCAAATTAAGTCAACGAAAGACTTTATTGCACAAAAAATGAAAAATTGGCCAATTGTTCTCCTGCAGAACTAAACAAAAAACCGGAACATGTTCTCGGTCCCTGATTTCTTATGAGAGCTCTAATATTTTTTCTTCTGTTTTTTAAGTCTGCTATATACCACTTAGTGACGACTGATATAATGGACGCGCATAAATTAAAAGTTTCCTGCAGAACACTAATGTCGAATAATTTCTTTGGCAAAACACCTCAGACGAAGTAATAAGGGCGAGAAGAAAGATTTGACACTGCCTCATTTGAAAATTTTCCCTGAAAATTAAGCGAGAAAACGGTTTTATTACTTCACCTGTTTATTGGGTCATGAGCAAAAACGGAGGCTTCATACTTTCGTTCTTCATACAGAATGAGTCTGAGCAAATAAACAAATGCTCATTGCCTTCAAAGTTTAATTTCACAGCCCAATGAAATGAAATTACTCAGCTAACGTTTTTTTTTCTACCAGCTCGTCACAATATTGTGCACACCTTTAATGAAATATGCATTTTTGAATAATTACAAAGACTTTCTATGTATGTATGAATGTATGCGTAGTGAGTTTGCCATTTTTGTATTTTATTAATTTCAATATCACACCGAAAGCAGCATTAGAGTTGGCGCAAAAAAAGAACATGCGACATTATTGTATATACGCTTGTGCAGCATTAGCCAACTTCAAGAGCAAATCTGCACTCTTTTCATAGATTTTTAGCGATGACACCGTTTTAAACTCGACTTTACCAGTAAAAGAATGACAGTTGCTTGCTTCTATCTACCTTTTGCTACTTTCTACATTCTACAAACTACATTTTCTTATTATACTTCGATTCCACGCATTTTTCGCCTTTCCTTGCTGCTTGCCACGCTGCTTGCGTGGTCAGAAGCCATTCTCCTGCTTGTTCACAATTTTCCAACTACGCTACTTGATCTGCTTATTTGCTGTGTTTTACGCTGCTCCTACTTTAATCCTTATAATCGAATTTTGACTTAATTTAGACTTATTCGCTAGATTTCTTTCATTATTTTTTCCTATTACTACAAATGTTACTTAGTCTAAGTATTTATTCTTACTTTTCTGCAGTTGCATACTACTTTTTTCTTGCTGCTGTCTTTGCCAGTTTTTTCTGCTGCATCTTTTGTTATTCTAAACACTGCATTTTGTGGTTCAAAAAATATTTGTTTTTATATGTTTTATCGGCCACATTTGTGTTTGTGTTTTGTTTCTTTGTTATTGTTTTTTTATTTTTATATTTTTACTTAACATTTTTAATCTGCAAAAGCAGTTATACAATTTGCCCTCTAATTGAACGGCAGAAAAAGCTAAAAATAAACTTTATTTATTTAAATATAACTTTGCTTAAATGTAAAAGGCTAACTCTATTTTTACAAAAACACGGACGCCAAAAATTTGTAAACAAATAAACAAAAGTACCCTCGTAACGATCTATTGAAATATTTAAGCCATTTTCTAATACACTGCACTGAGATTGTAATATAGTATATAAAGCTACAATAATAAATAACAAGAAAAAATAATAATTAAAAAAAAATCAGGTTGGAAAAAATTGCACATTAAAACTTTATACGAAAATTCGCATTTGTATTTGTGATTTTGTCTTCCCTTTATTTTAATTGAAAACGCTGTGCGTTATCGGTGATTTTAAATCAGTCGCCACTGATCATCTTCAGAGCTTTTATTCCGCGCGTGTTTATATAAAATTTATAGAAAGCTTTAAAAAGCTTTGTTCGCGGGCTATTTATGTTATGGCCCTTCTTGTTTATACAGGCGTACACAGGATATACACGATTTTCTCGTACAGTCTATAGCAAGCTCAGCAAAGCTGTGTTCGTCTTTTGTAGAACGCTTTAAAAGACTTTGCTCTTGGTCTTCATTTTGGTCGTGCTTGTTTCATATAGGCGCGCACAAGGTATAACCTCTTTCTGGTAAAATCCATTGAAGGCTTAAAAAAGCTCTGCGCACGCGCTAGGTTCATTCGTTTCCACGATCATGTCTCTGAGAGTATACCAATAACGAGCAGAGTGTAGCCTTGCTTTTACTCTGCACGCGACTATACAAAATGTATAGAAAGCTTAAAAGAACTTTGCCCGCGGGCAAGGCGGTGCCCTTCACCGCTCTGTATAAAACAGCGATGAGCAGGGAGAGCTTTTACTCTTAACCTCTTTCTGGTAAAATCCATTGAAGGCTTAAAAAAGCTCTGCACACGCGTTAGGTTCATTCGTTTCCACGATCATGTCTCTGAGAGTATACCAATGACGAGCAGAGTGTAGCCTTGCTTTTACTCTGTATCAGCGATGGGCAGAGAGAGCTTTTACTCTGCATGCGCCTACACAAAATGTATAGGAAATTTAAAAGAGATTTGCCGCGAGCAAGACAGTGCCCATCAGTGGTATAAAAACTTAAAAAAGCTTTCTAGCGGCTAATTCATAAAAGTGTGTTGGCAGCCGAAATTGGCAGTAAACGAACACCGGGTTTATGCTTTTGCTTTATAGATTGCGGCTACATAAATACGTATGTACCTACATAAATATGTATTAGCTACATAATTCCTAAGTAAACGCTTGGAGTTCAACTCACTTCTTTCAAGAAAAGCAGTGTAAACCAAAGGCATCTTTCCGAACTAAGATTAGATCGAAATTGGCCCCTTATAACTATGCATCCAAGCTTTTTTCAACTATTTGATAAAATTTCCTCTTTAATACACATACATACATATGTATGTACATATATAGCAGCGGCGTGAACAGGGAAAAGCCGCTCGTCACTAACGGAACTAATTCCGCGCGAGAAGCTTTCTGAAGCTTTCTATAGATTACCAGCGATGGGCAGATAGAGGTTTTACTCCGAGCGCGCTTTTACAAAATACATTGAAAGCTTAAAAGAACTTTGCCCGCGGTCAAGCGATGCCCACCACCTACGTATAGTAAAAGCTCTGTCTGACTGTCACTGGTATGTGGGCACACAGGCTAGATGCTCTCACTGGCCAGTACTCGGCTAGAGAGTTAGTCTCATTTTGTAGAATAGTTGAACGTTGGTTAGTAATCAAAGTTCTTTCAATAATAACCAAAGTTCTTGAACCTTGAAAACGGGTTCTCAGTCTACGTTGCGTATGACTGTTTTGAATCAGCTAGAAATATTTTTCACCGTTATGACAATATAGCTCGTTATGACATATTGGAAATCCGCTGATTGCATATACATACATAAATATACATATTACATACATTTTCTAGGTATGCCATACTCCATTAAATAGACCGAAGAAAAAGGAAATACATATACATATATATGTAAATAAAATGTTCTTTTGAGGCATAAGGCTTTGAAAAAGTTTAACCTATTTGAAAATTATACAAAATGGAAAATATTGTGTATGCATTTATGATCCTTAAAGTCTTTATGCTTTGATGTATGTATGTATATGTATATAATTTGTAAATAACTTTGTAATATATTAAGACATACATATTTGGTAATATACAATATTAAAAAATATCTGTTATACAAAAAATGTTTATGTATGTATATTAATTTTATATAGTGGTTATTTTGAATACTATATATGTAGAAGGAAGACATTTGCCGCACTGCTAGTGCATTTAAAGGATCATAAAGCGACTATTTGTTTTGTTTTTCTTTAACGATTTCGTTAATCAAATGACAAGTGCATTGTGGAATGTTGTGTTTGGCCTTATGCACAGAAGTTAAAAAAAAATCATACATATACGCATGCAGGTAGGGAGCTTAAAAAAGTCGAAGAAAATATAAATACGTATAGTTAAATCAAAGTTGAACACCTCAGAGGCTCGCATTCCAAGCTTTTTAAGGTTTCTAGGCATTAATACCAATAAAACAGAGTTTAAAAACGGCAACTTTTGTTGTTTTGCTGTTGTTTGTTTCGTTTACACGAAGCAAAAGTTCCTGTACCCAATCGCCGTTAAAAGCTAATTTACTAAGGTAAACGAGAAAAAACATCGCGTAGACGGAGCACGGACGACCACCCTTTCCTCATTGCCTTTTATCCTACATGTTATGAGTTGCCGCGTGTAAACAGCGCATAGACATATAGTCACAAAACGTAGCCAAAGTTGTTTTAAAGCTGTCTGTGATCTTCGCTGGCAAGCATAGAGTAAAAGCTCTCTCCAGCCAACACTGATTGTTTAGCTTTAAAATATTCAAGGCCATAATATGTATTCAAAATATGAACAAAAGTAGTAATACGAAAAAGAACAACAAAAACAATCAAAACATATGTATGAACAGAAAGTTGAGCTTACACAAAACAAGTAATTAAAAAAACATAATTTAAGACGAACTTGTATTAGTGATTATTAAAAAAGGACCCCGCATCAGCTAAAGGCAAAATTTTTTGTGGAGCGCCACCTATCTGACAATATTTCTGTGAAGTTATTCCCTTTCAGGTAAGTCATATGTATACATTTTAAATATGTATTTGAATATGGGACCCTAAATAATTAATCAAAAAATAATGAAATTTGTTGAGAATTTGCTTCGGCATTAGTTCAAGTTGCTTCAAGATTACGCTAAAGTTTATTTCTGGATGAAGTATTTAAGTATTCTTCTGCTTTTACTTTTGAAGCTCGCCTTTCTTTCCTGGGAATAAATTTAATGAAAATTATTTGTGAGTCATCGGAGAAAATATTGAGGCTATTGCTCGCGTTGTATTGATCAATTAGAACTCTATCAATTGCATTTTTGCTATAAGTTTCGAAACCGCTTGCTCAAATACTGCCCTCAAAAATTAAATTGATTCGATGCCTATGCCGCCACTCATCTATGAAATTGTCTTCAAAAGCGAATTGAAATACTTATATGCGGTATCGCCAATTTCATGTGAATAAATTGTTCCCATAATTTAACGCGCAAAACAAAAACAAATTGGGAAAAATTGTTTTTGTTTTGCTTTATAATTTTTGTGAATATATGTTCATGTGAAATTCGCGATAGGGCCGATTACAAAGTGCTCACTGTCTTTGGAGAAAAATGTGCTGATTTTTTAGAAGCTCGACTTCCTACTCATTTTTCCTGAACAATTTCGAATATCATTGAAATAATCGTGCTCACTTCAAAGTATCTGTATTTTTTGGTCCATATTTATTTTATTAACATTAGGTTTGATCAAGAAAACAGCATAGAAGTTCCAAACCAGAATCTTCCATCGCCTGTTTTTAGTAATAGAATTTCGACGAGAATATTTTTTGTCTGAAACTGAAAATAATTTGTGATACCTTATGCCTTAAACGACCGCCATGATTTTCTTATCCCTGTGTGTCGCATGAAGAAAAGCAAAATGTGATTAATTGTCAATCAAATGAACCGAATGCGAAATTATTGCAGGGCAGACGAATTTTAGTCTTCAAAGTTTTAAGCTAAGATCCCATTATCGAAGCAATGTGCCGATTTTTGGCGCATTTCATATACCATTAGTGTGTATCTGGGTCGAAATTGTGCTGAGTGTAAACAACCAAAACTAATATTGCTGTAGCGAAATTATAAAAAATGCGGCTCATGCCCCGAGCAAAGTCGAAAATTTGTTTATTGTTATTATTAATGAACCACGATACTGTGTTTGTATAGTTTGGCCGATATGCACCGAAAAATATTGTAACAAATGCGATGATAATGGGGGGGACCACTCAAAAAATAGTTATACAAAATTTTTTAATATGTATCAATCAAGCACGATGAAAATCGGTACATATTGTGCTATTTGCGCCGATAGTGGGATCCTACCTTTACATTTTAATTTAATTGGAAATTAAACAAACTAATATGTATTTAAGTTCCAGTTTTCACAAATTTTCTAGTGCTGGGCAGTATATATTGAGTTGTTTTGAAGATCGGGTACTTGGTTATCGACTCTTGAGAATCATTTTTTAGTATCGGATATTTTAAACAGATGCTTTTAAACTAATGGATTAAAAATTATTCGGATTTAAAAAAAAAATATTAAGAGGACAAAGCTGACACTCGATTTAAATAGCTTGTCCATCTACTTTTTAAGTAGTTAATACACGCGTGAAGTATCTAGTGTTAGTGTTTTTTTTTTGCATTAGACATCATACATCTAAGCATTTTTGAATTTGAATAACCTTGGCTACCAATATCGTTCAAATATTTAGCACTGAGTACTTTTGAGTATCTCTTCGGAATCGATATGGAGAACTTTTAAGTGCCTAGTACTTCGATATGTTTTGAGTACTCAGTATAGATACTTTTATGAATCGGTTACCGACATTATTTCTGAAAATCGTATACTTGTAACTTTCGGTATCGATACTGCCAAAGACAATATAATATTTTCATACTCTTCCGGCTGTGCGTGATTCCTTAATCTTATCGGATCGCGATAAGAAAACATTTCCGCTCGATGATTTGAAAAATATAAACAAAACATTAAAGGTGGGGTTGCCTGCTGTAAGGAATTCTTCGATTACCCACATAAAAAAATTCCACGAATCTTAAATGAGGAAGTATGCTTGCACTATTATCATTTACAACAAATACCTTTAATGTGCAACAAATTAAGATATAAATAAAAAATAAACAACGGGTAAAAGGAAAAGCCTCAGTGTTTCGTATGTCCTATGATCCCTTTCGTCTGCACGTGTGTATGTATTTGACACTTTTAATTGCTGCTCAGCATACCTTTCACTTAATTTTTTGTAGATATTTTATTATATTTTTATTTGAAAATAAAATCACAAATACAAACAGTAATTAACAACACAAAAGCATACATATAAATATGTACTTTCATATTAAGATTTATTTTAATTCAATTAAAAATTACAACAAATACTTTTAAGCAAAAAAAAAATGGAAAATAAAAGTTCAACTAATTTGCTAAAAATATTGACACCAATTTTTCCAGATGTTTCTGTTTTATTTTCTGCAATTTCCTTTTGTGTGCACTTTCAATGCTGCAACTATTGTAGTTTCTATGTTGTTGTTGTGGCATTACGCAACTATTTCGTAGGCGTTTTTCTTTTATTGTTTTTGCTACAATTCTCAATGTAAATAATAACTCATCATTTCAATTAACGCATCTCGCTTTCGCTGTACATACATATTCACTTAATATGATAAGTGTGTGTAGGTGTGTTTGTTGGTGTGACTGATTGTGTTTTTAGTGTGTTTACTTGTTGTTGCTTGATTTTCTTTTTCATTTCAGTTTTGTCCTTAATACTATAAGTATTTAAATTTTTTTCTATTTTCTTGGTTTCAACTTTCATATAAAACTACTTTCTTCTTTATTTTTTATTTAATTTACTTAAGTTTTACTGCTCGCTTTATAGCTTTTGCTGGGTTTTCTTACTTGTTCACTACATTTTTTTGTTTTTTATTTTATTTTTATTTTATTTCGCCAGTTGTTGTGTTTTTTTTTTCTGTTTTTCAAATACTCTATTTTCGCTTCTTTTTCTTTTAATTATTTTATTACTAATTTCCTTCTTGTTTTAAAAAACTACTTTTCTTGTAAATACGTTTTTCTGTTTTCAATGCGTTACATTGTGTATCTATGTTGGGTTCTTATTCCTTGTTAAACTAGTATTTTGTTTCTTCTAAACACGCTTTCACCTGCACAAAAACTTCAAAATAGCTAAGGTGTGTTTTTTTTTTTGTTTTAAGAAAAAATGGATAAATTTTAAAATTGTTTACGGTTGGTTTATATTTGCTAAATAAAAAAAAAAAACTGGGTTAAAAATTTTACTAAACAGCTTTGCCATCAGTTCTTTTCATATCCACGCCAGTGATAAAACATAAAACAAAAAACAAACATTTTTAACTACTTTTTTATTGCTCGTTGGAAGAAAGTTGCTTTGCTTTTTCTGTACAGTTCCTAAGAAAAAAAATTTAATTAGATAAAAATGTTTATTATTATTTAAACAATTTTATTTTATTCTTTAATATCATTAAATTTTAAATTATTTTATGTAAATTTATTCTTTTTTCGTATTTAATTTGTCTCATTTTATGATATTTTTATTTTATTTAACTTTTTATTTTATTTTATTTTGTTTTATTATATTTTATTTTATTTTATTTTATTTTATTTTATTCTATTCTATTTTATTTTATTTTATTTTA